CCCATTCCGATTCATCGACAGCATCCCTCTTTTAAATTACCCCTCTGCGTCCCCGCCGAGAATCTCGTTCGCAGGATAAATTCGAGAACCTTATCGAAACCCTCGAGGACGAGGCCAGCAGCGCCCTGGGCCTACAAAAGGTCATCCCTTCTCGTTCTTTTCTACCCTCTTACTTCGAGTCCTTCCCATTTCTCCCTTATACCCTGCCAGTCCATCCCGAACTAACCACCCAGGCAGTAACGGCTCCACCTCAATGGGGTGGAACCGGGGATCACACTCGATGACCATTCATTCGTATCACGATACAAATATTGTCGGAGCTCAGACTCGAGCCTTTTGCCTCCCAAACGACGGGAAATGAAGTCGGACACGAGTCGGCCGACCTGATGCTTCCAGTAACAAAGACAGACTATGGCGTGTTCAGCAAGGCTAGTGGCAGTGAGGCTATCCAAAGGGATGATTCCGGAAAGAGCGTCAAGGGTGCTGATCGTGGTGGTGGTGACGATGGTGGTAAAGCAGGACGTGGTAAAGCTCGAAACGCCGAGTCAGTCAAGCCTTATCGCGCGGTACTAAATCCACAGCGACTAACCCACCGGGACTCCGTCCCCGCGCCCCACCGGCACGGGTCCCATCCCTTAGCGCGGCTTCAAACTGTAATTAATACGTCGAGGGTGCTATCGGAGCAACTGGGGTAATTTAGGATCGACCAGTCGAACGGCGTGGCAGGAGAAAACTCTCTGGCGTGCCTTTTACCGGGTCAGAAACAAATAGTATTCCAGGAAGTTCGGACCCACTGAAATATGTAGAGCTGCCCATTTCCCGTAGGAGTTAGTCGTTCGTGCGGTACTCAGCCAAGCTGATGCTGCTGATGGCAGTGAGGACGGTGTGCGTGCTGCTGATGATGCGGGGAGCGGTGCCTGTGTTAGACACGGACACTCGGACGCTATCGCACCGGCGTTACCTTAATTAGCCAAGCCGGTGGGTACGCGTAATCGGGGCTTTAGCTCGCTTAATCTAATTGAGCTACGTGGGCTCTCCAGCATCGGCAGTGACAGTGGCGCTAGCAGAAAGCCGGACTTACTCCAGCATCCGAGGCAGCACGCAGACTGGTCGACACACGGGGGGTCATAGAGAGGGTCGCACATGGGCTCTCCTCCCGAATGTAACATTGACAAAGCGAAGAGGAGCAATCGGGTATGAATTCAAAGCGTTGCCAGGTACTCGGTTAGCCGGCCCCGTTCACCATTGTTAATTCCGAGTAAATTACCAGGACATCGGGTACCCGGAGCAGTGGTCTGGGCTCCTGGTTCACGGAGGCATATCGCTACCACTATCCTCGTAGAATGCGAAACTATGCTGTCCGATGCAGCAATACCTGGAATCCAATTTGCGGACGAATATTAAAGTTCCGGATCTTCCGGTTTCCCGAGCGCAATGGGTTTGGGTTACTTTGACATATTGGCTTGTCGAAGGAGCTGACGTAAGACCGTTTGGAGTCGGCTGCCACGTAAGTGTCTAACCTATCGACGATGGCTCCGGTGTATACGTACTTACACACCAGGATCCTAGAGCAAACGAGGAACAGCCAGGATTACAGGAGGACGTCCTAGGGCTTATATCAACCTCCCGGTAACTCGCTATCCGTGCCCGATAGACGTGAGCTGGAAAAATTCGATATGCGAGAAACGTCCTCTTCTGAAACGGGACACACGCACCAATCCAATCGACCTGAAGGATACCCTGTCAGAAACGCGATATATATATATATATATATATATACATATTCTTCATTCTATCACTGTAACAGCGTCTATGGCATACGGGACTATATACATCTCGAAACGTGCCAGTCGAGTTTGACAGCTGTCATGGGACACGCTCGCGCGGAGCAGCATGGGTATAGGATTGGCTGAAGAAATACTGTGACGTCATAAAATCAGATGAGACAAAAGACGTAAATCCATGTACCGTACGTACCCCGTGCCACAACATGGCAATCTATTCCCGACGATTTTTCTACGGTGTCAGCCGACTAACTCGCGTACGTTAGAGAGAATGCACGGGGACGCAATATTGTCCCGAGTGCAGGGGTGGCCCGCTGACCCGTAAACAACCCTCCACCACAGCCACCAAAGACTAACGCCTCGTGACACAGCACCCGGCAGCCTCCCGTAGCATTATTATTTTCTCCCCCGCGTATAGCCATCCCGAGAGCTGTCGCGTCCCGGAGACCTTTTCCTCCCCGGGGGGTGTCATCGTTTCCACGGTGCGACAGCTCCTCACGCCCCGTCGACGAACTTCCCGAGGAAGGCGTCATTTCACCAGGCCGAAAGTCTCCGGAAAAGCCCTGGCATCGATCGATGCCAACGGTCAGCCATTCTCCCAGAAGAGAATACCCACCACCCTTCCACGGAGGGTGGACAGCCCAGTCCCACTTCCAGGCTCCAGCTTCCTCGTTGCCTCACACCGCATTAGCCGTATGATTGACACAATGAGGTCCGAGTCCGTTCGGGAGGCCGATTTCTATTCGGCACCAACGAGCTATTCATATTCATCAGGATCCTCAATTTCTGCTTTCCGTCCGAGTCGCCATTTCTTGTCAGGCATGATGGCTGCAGCAACCAGTCTCTGCTCACCGGCCGAGACTCATTGTTCGTTATTACGAAACTTTTCCACACCTCCGCACCCCTCCTCGACCGGGCCCGCGCGCTGGCCTGGGCCTTCGCTGGTCTGGCTGGTCTAGACCGGCTGAACCCATCGCGAAGGAAACCTTGGAACCTGGACTTATTAACTTTCTACAATTTTCCCAATATCCGGTTTTGATAATAACTGCGAAAAAATTGCTCCTCGCGAAACACTCGATCATCCGATAGCCGAGCTAGCGACCCGTATCGAGCGATCGTCTTGTCAGCTTTTTGTTCCACGTGAAAGGTGCTAACACGTGCCGCAAGTACATTGGCTGTTAAATGATTTATCGCTTCGCGATCGAGAGTGACTATCGCTAATGAAATTGACGTAGGTTGTATTTTGTAGCGCGAGGACTTTTCGGCCAGAGACGCACGAATGTCAAGTGAAAAGAGAGATTAAAAAATTTTCACTTCATACCTCTGATCCAATTCTCTGACAATTCCGCAATTCCGTCGACCGAAAATCATTTTGACTAACGAACCTCAACGGCAAATCGATATCCTTCACTCTAGCCCGAAAATACAAACCCCAAAAACCACTGAAACATTCAAATTAAATATAGCCCCGACAGCAACCGATACAGTCGACGATAAGAAATTTCAGACGCAACAACCACGAAATTCCATGAGGAAGTGTTGAAAAGAGAAAAAAAAAACTTTTTCCTTGGAGAAAAAAGAAAGTTCTACCCTTATCCCGATAACCCTGCTAATTCAGAACTAACAGCCCGTTTTTAGCAGCTTAGGTAAAACGAGCCTCGGGCAAGCCCTATATTCCTCCGGCAAAGGATCCCCCGGTCCGGAAGACGGATATCCGGCCGACGCGGGAGAAAATATAAAAGATGACAGACGTAATATTTTGTTTCTCCTACAGACAGCACAGCATCGGGCCCCACGACGACCGGGTAAGCTCCTCTTCGTGTACGTTCCTGATAATTGCTCCTATGCCGTTAATTTGCGCTCCCGGGACGATATCCTTAAGCCGTACGTCAAGAAACGGTACGCTGGCGCGTGACCGGAACGCCACTACCTGAACTTCTGTATCAGGACGTACAGTTCTTCGGCATCTAAACACCAGACACGTAGCTGGCTGGTTGGGCTCCCGTGACCGACACCGCGCCGGCTATACGATTCTTCTTTGCCCTATACGCTACGGATATCCTACGCTACATACAGTCATCAGCAGCGCGTCCGTCGGCTGGATTTCCCGTTAACTGTTTTCCCGTCGGCGAGTGCCTCGCGCCAGAGTGGAATTCTTGTTACGGGTTAATTCGACCGGGGTGAAAAATTGTCAGAGGTGAAATGCCGTGGCGAAGTACCGGGCGCATT